ACTGTGTGGATCATAACAAACTGTGGCTGACTCTGAGAAGAATGGGAATCCCAGAACACTTGATCATGCTAATGTGAAACTTATACTTGGAACAAGAGCTAGTCATCAGAACAGAGCAAGGAATCACTACATGATTCAAAATTGGGAAGGGTGTATGCCAGGGATGTGTTCTGTCTCCATATCTTTTCAAGCTTTATGTAGAACAGATCATCTGGGCGGCTGGGCTCTATGAGGAGAAATGAGGCACCAGGATTGGTGGAAGATCTATCAACAATCTGTGTTATGCCGATGATACAACCCTGCTTACTGAAACTGAGGAGGACCTGAAGTGTTTGCTGCTGAGGGTCAGGGGCTGCAGCCTTCAATGTGGATTGAGGCTCAATGTCAAGAAGATAAAGATTCTCACCGCTGGACCAGTTGGCAGCATCAGGATAGATGGTGAAAAGATTGAGATTGTTCACAGTTTTAGTCTGCTTGGCTCCACAATCAACACTCTTGGCACCAGCAGCCAGGAAATAAAAAATCACCTTGTGATGGGAAAGTCTGCTGTTAGGGACCTCTTTAAAGTACTCAAGAGCAACCGTGTGTCTCTGGAGACTAAGGTGCGTCTGATACAGGCCATGGTCGTTGCAATCACTTGTTATGCATCAGAGAGCTGGACAATGACTGGGGAGGATAGAAGGAGAATTGAAGCTTTTGAGCTTTGGTGTTGGAGAAGAGTGCTGAGAGTACCATGCACTGCTAAGAAAACAAACAGATTCGTCCTGGAGAGGGTTAAACCGGGCTTCTCCTTGGAGGTAAGGATTCTCAAACTTCATCTGACATACTTTGGTCATGTTGTAAGGAGGAACTAGTCCTTGGAGAAGGACATCATGCTTGGGGCGGTGGAGGGCAGGCGCAGGAGGGGAAGGCCCTGTGGGAGGTGGATTGATTCAGTGACTGGGACAATTGGATAAGTGTGTCAGAGACAATGAGATTGGCACAGGACAGAGCAGAGTTTAGAGCTGTTGTACATAGGGTCGCTATGAGTTGCAAGCGACTCGACAGCATATAACAACAACAACAGCAGTCCGTGGTATATGTATCACTCTTCTCCAGCGCCATGGCTCAAAGGCATCAATTCTCATTCTTTCATCCCTAGTCACTGTCTAGCTCTCTGATGTATAGCACACAATTGCGAAGACTATAGCCCGGATCAGGCGCTCCTTAGTCTCCAGCTTGTGGAGGCCAAATGATTTTGAGATAGTAGTGGTAGGTCCTTGAGTTTCCCTTTTGATGTGCCTATCCTGAAGTTGTTAATTCAAAAGTTACCCATGAAGTGCTTCATCATAACTGGAGGAATGGCTTCTCTTATACTGGAGACAGTGTACATAGGCCCATAAGCAATAGAAACAATCTCAGGCCCATTGGTGCAAAATAATGACAGAATTAAAATGTAAATGAGTGAAAATGTTGTGCCAAAGATGTTTAGATATCGACTAATAGGTAGTGGACAAAAAGATAAAAATGTATACATGAGCTATGTAGACTTATTTTTAGTTATTGAAAAGTGCAACAAGAATTCTCCTTGGAGGCAAAGATGATAAATGTTTGACACATATACTTCACTTATGTTGCTAGGAGGGGCTGTTCCTTGGAGAGGGACATGACGTTTGGAAAAGCAGAGGGTCAGCGAAGGAGAGGAAGACCCTCAACCAAGTGAATTGACAGAGTGACCGCAACAATGGGCTCTGGGGTGTCAGGAAGTGTGAGAAGGGTGCAGGATAGTACAGGGTTCAGATCTGTTGTTCCAAGGATCGTTATTGATCATATTCAACTCAATAGTACCTAACAACAACAATGACATTGTTAGTAATGCTGAAGCTTCCTTCCCTGAGGTTGTACGGTTTGTTGCAGATTATCAATTGCTTGAGTTTTCTATGGCACTCAGCAGCAGACCAGTAGAGGGTAACATAAATCAGTATGTTTTCTGAACTGTTACTTTTTGCTTCTTCTCTTGGTTTCCAAATACCTAAACTACCAATTCTATCTATAAACTAAATCTGATATTAGCATATTGACTTCTATCTTTTGTTTGGGAAATTACAATTCAGTAGCCCAATTAGACAACAAAACTAATTAAAAACTAATCTCAACTCTTAAGCAGTGTCTAGGCACCCATGTCATCTAGGGTCACACTATCTGTTTCTCGTCTGTTATGCTTTTCTCATCAGTCTGTTTGGTACGTTTTGTTCAGCTTATTATACGTTAAAACGGAATGCTTACCTTAAACTCAAACTCACTGCCATCCTGTCAGAACTGACTCATGGCCTACACCGCCCCCCACCCCTCAGCAGGTTTTCTGGAAGCTGTAAATTGCCTGGCAGGAGATTGCCCATCTTTCTTCCATATAACTGTTGGTGGATTTGAAATGCCAAAGAAGTATGGTCTTTTAGTTAGCTATACCAGTCATTCTGGACTATATCACTAGAGAATTTTATAGGGCCAATTTCCTACCCAAGAAAATAGGCAAGAAGCCAAATCATATCACAGTGTTTACTCACATACTCTGTCCTTGCAAACACACATGATCTAGCCATATATGTATTTTTTTTAACCTGGGCAAGCAGATGCCTCTTTATTGGTGCTGGGTCATATATGTATTTTAAGGAAATGATGGGCAATCTCCTCCCATGCGTTTAACTGCCTCTGAAAACCTGCTGGAAGGACAGCTATGGGTCAGTTCTGACTTGACGGTGCACAACAATAAGCACTTCCCTGAGGATCCCTGGTGGCATAGTGGTTAAGGGCTTGGCTGCCAGCTGAAAAGCTCATGGTTGGAATCCATGTGGCAGTCTATTTCTGTAAAGTTTGTGGCTTTAGAAACACAATCACTGTTCTCTTCTGTCCTACAGAGTTACTCTGAGTTAGAATAAACTTTATGTCAGTAAGTTGGACTCCACAGCTGACAAGAGAGAACACAGTTCTGAATTTAAGTCTATAAGCCTCCAATGGGTGGACCTTAACATGTGCTATTGTTGTTATGTGCCACTGAATCAGAACTGACTCTTAGCTGACCCTCCAGCTGATTTCAGAAGCTATAAATCACACCAGAGCAGTCTGCCCATCTTTCTCCCTCAGAGCAGCCTGTGTATTTAAACCAGTTACCTTCATGTTGGTGGTGCCACTCCTTACCCACGACGCTACCAGATCTCCCTTTAAGTGTAATCATTTTTAGGAATTCATATGGAAGACCAATGTCTAAAAATAATGAGCAAAAACTCAACTGATAACATCTAGTCAAATCCAGCTTATAGTAACCCTCTGTTGGGTTTTGGAACCTATAAATATTAATGGGAGATGACAGCCCACATTTCTCCCACAGAGGAAAAAAAAATACGTTGGTTAGCAAAGTACTTTGGTTAGCAATTTGGACAGACTGTACCACCAGTTGTTGCTGTTGTGTACCGTGGAGTCAGAAACGACCCATAGCTGAACTTCTGGTGGGTTTTTAGAGGCAGTTAATCACACGGAAGGAGATTGCCCAATCATCTCCCTCAGAGCAGGTGATGGCCTTGAACCACATGTCTTCAGGATTACAGTGCAGCTTCTTACCATTAGGCCACCAAAGCTCCCTGTATCACCAGAGCACCTTTAAAATAGCATTGTTGCTCTTGTGGACCTTCCTGTTGGAACCGACTCGTAGTGGACCCCCTAGTGGGTTTTCGGAGGCAGTGTGTCGCATGGGAGATTGCCCATCTTTCTCTGGCAAAATAACATTAAGTCAGGAAATGGAGCTTCACTCCTCTTCCTCCATCTTCTCTATTGATTCACCTAAAAATTCCTCATTTAGCTTTCATTTCAGTTTCTCACGTCATACTCTCATTCCGATTTGGTTTTGACCTCACCTTGTGCTTGGGTTTTTGGTGAATCCGGTATTCACAAAAACTGGACAGAGACATGAAGTTTTGACACCAGTTTTCCCCAGCACTGCAAGTTCTGCTGTCAGAGCTCTGTGAAAGCCAACGGCCGCAAATTTGCTGGAGCTGTAAGGGAAACGATCAACCACTGTTACTCAAGGCTAAGTAAACCATCCTCGGATCACTTAACAAAATCAACCGCAATGGTAAGATATTTTCCCCTCCTTAGACGATGAATTGTCATTCATTTAAATTTTCTTGGATAATTACATGGAATTCTGAATGTATAAATTCCCTAATTGACAATGATAGTAAAATAACAAATAACTTTAATTAACTAGCTCAATACTTTTTGACCCGACATGTCAGTTTTCCACTTACTATTTAAACTATGTTATTGTTGTTCTAGTCTCTTGAGTAGAGAATTGACTCTGGACCTGGGTGTTAAGAAGCTGCGGGAAAGGAGATTGGCTATCTGAACTGCATGCCTTTGGCAATGCAACTCCTTGCCCACTATACCACCAGGGTGTTTAACTGTTGTCATTTTGAAAAGTGGGGGGGAGTGTGAGTCAGGAAAAAACCCTATTTTATAATACAGCATACCTGAAATCTATGTTGACAAGCTTTCCTGTGATTTTGCATATTTCTCCCCTGTCCTTGGGTAAATTTACAGTTTATTGACAATCGTTGTCACTTTATAGCTTAATTTGTTTTGATCTGAATTTTAAAAAGCCAAACAAAACCCTCCAAATGGAGTATGTGTCCTTTTGCACCTAACTTTCTTTTGATTTTCTGATTTTTAAAATGCAAATAATCAAAATAGCAGGCTGTTTCAAAGACTTTACCAAATAACACTTGTAAAAAATACTCTATTATGGGGAGCTCTGGTGGCCTAGTGGCAAGAAGCTGCACTGCAATCTCAGAGGCACGTGGTTCAAATCCACCAGATGCTCTGCTGGAGAAGGAGGGGCAATCTCCTCCTGTACCAGTCAGATCCGATTTGACGGTACACACACAAAAAAGAAAAAGAAAAATTTAAAAAATATTATGTATAAGAATTTATATAAATTTTAATTATTATTTTGAAAATAAGAGACAGTAAGAACACTAAAGTTAAAAGCTGGTAGTTTTTTTGTGGAAGAAGGGAAAAGGAGGAAAATTATTACTACATTGGATTTCTTTATCTTAAGCATTAATATTGTTGTGTTGTTATGTGCTATCGAGTCAACTACAACTCACAGTGACCCTATGAACAATAGCTCTGACCCTCTCTGACACAACTGACCCCATTGTCATTGTCACTGTGTCAATCCATCTCATTGTAGGCCTTCTTCTCCTGTGCTGAACCTCCACCCTTCCAAGTGTGATGTCCTTCTGCAGGGCTGGCTCGTCCTGACATTGTGCCTGAAGTATGTGAGAAAGAGCTTCAAAATCCTTGCCTCCAAGCAGTAACCTGATTTCACCTTCTCCAGGACAGACTTTTTGTTTTCTTGACAGTCCATTCAATACTCTTATCCAGCATCACAATTCAAAGACATCAATTCTTCTGTCCTTGTTAGTCATTGCCCACCTCTCAGATGCATAGCATGCAACTGAGAAGACAATGGCCTGAATCAGGCACACCTTAGTTGCTAGACTAACATTGTTGCTCCATAGCACTCTGGAGAGGTCCCTGACAATAGATTTTCCCAGTGCAACTCATCTTTTGATTTCTTGCCTGCTAGTGCCAAGGATGTAGATTGTGAATTCAAGCAAGATGAGATTTTTTTTTTAACGGCTTCAATCTGTCTTCATCTATCATAATTCTGCCTATTGGCCTGAGGGTGAAGATTTTTATTTTCTTGATTCTAAGATACAGTTGATATTGAAGGCTGCAGTCTTGGATCTTGTGTAGCAAGTGCTTCAAGTCCTCCTCAGTTTTGGTCAGCAAGGTTGTGTTATCTCCAATAAAGCATGTTGTTGATTGGTCTACTTCCAATTCTGATGTCACCTTCTTCTTCAAATCCATCCTCCCAAATGATCTGTTCCACATTAGATTGAAAAATTATAGAGAAAGAATATGTCCCCAATACGCTCCTTTCTTGATTTTGAACCATGAACTGTTTGTTCCCTTACTGTGTTTGGACAACACCTTATTGGGCTAGGTATAGCTCTTACAGGAGCACAATCAAGTGTTCTCAGCTTCCCATTCTTCTCAATGTTGATCATAATGTGCTGTGGTTCACAGAGTCAAATGTCTTTGCGTAGTCAATAAAACACATATAGACATTATTCTGGTACTCTCTGTTTTCAGTCAAGATCCATCTGACATCAACAATGATCCCTAGTTCCATGGCCTCTTCTATTTCTGACAATTCTTTGTTGATATACTGCTCTTGTAATTTATGGATAATCTTCAGTAAGATGTTACTTGTATGTGATATTGATTGATAATTTCCACATTCTATTGGATCATTTTTGGGGGGGGGTGGGAATGAGAATAAGTATGGATCTCTTCCATTCAGTTTGGCCAGGTAACTCTCCTCCAGATTTCATGGCATAACCCGGCAAGCATATTCAGAGTTGCTATGTTTGTTGAAATATGTCAATTGGTAGTCCATCAATTCCTGGGGCTTTATTTTTTGCCAATTCCTTCAGAACAGCTCGACTTTTCTCCTTTAATTGTTTCTTGATCATATGCTACTGACTGAAATGGATTTGTGCCAGCCCAATTTTTTAGTACAGTGATTCCGTATATTCTTTCCATGTTTGTTTTGCTGCTTCCTGGATCATTCAAGATCTTGTCCTCAGCATCTTTAAGTATCGCAACTCAAGGCTTGAATTTGATCTTCAGTTCCTTCAGTTTGAGAAATGCCTAGCGAGTTCTTTCCTTTAGATTTTCTGACTCTAGCTCTTTGCATATTTTGCTACAATATTTGCTTTGTCTTCATGAGCATTAATATTAGTAATTGCTTAATGTCTGTACTATTATGTTTAATGTTTTACTATGATTTTACTGAAATTTTACAGAGTGGATGGGTATTCCATACATATGTACTTTTTTTTCTGACAGTGATTACAATACCTACCTTATATTTGTAACTTCCTTGCTGCTTTCTCTCTTTCTTTATTGTTTCTAATAATTTCTTCATTCTCTCCCTTCTTTCTCTGTTTTATTCTTGGACAAATGTTACCCTTGTAATTCTAAGTGTTGAATATCTTGCTGTTGTTGTTGTTAAGTACCATCAAGTCGAAGATGACTCTTAGTGACCCTATGAATGAAAGTCCTTGACATTTGCATGACTTTCATCCTTTTTCTAGGTTCATAGGGTTTCTGGAGGCAAGCTATTATGGAAGTGGATGCCACTCCTGCTTCCAAGCTTGTTTTAATCATGGAGCTCCACCAAATACTGTCCACCTTGGGTGACCATTATCACACTTGACAAATCAGTGTCACAGTGTTCAGCTTTACAGAAACCACAAGGTACCTCTGTATGGCAAGTGGACACACCAGGACTATATGACCTAGAAGAATGTTTAACCAAAAACAATAAAAAATAGGCCTGAGGGCCCTATGGTATTTTATACCCTTCTGGCAATCCCAAACGTTGGCAAACTCTGGGCCAGAGACCCCCAATTCATCTAGCAAGCCCGCTCTGTGGACACCCACTTGGGGCAAAAAGACTGCCACAAGCACCCAGGCCTTCCTCAGCTGGCTCTCATTCAAGGTGCAAAAGATCCAATCAAACCGTCCAGCTAACGCTGAGAGTCAGGAATCTGCCTATTGTCTGGCTGCTAATTGAATCACAGAGGTGAATTCAAGTTTGGGCCTCAACTTGCTACTGATGGTCATAGTCTTCAGGCTTCCTCTAGTCTCCACCAGGCCATTAAGCTCGTGCCGTTATTGTGATTTTGAGTCAAGTTCTAAATTTATCTCCTATCTAGAACTTTATATTATGATCTCTTTCAGAAACTCTAATATTTTTAGACAGCACAGAACAGACTGAAGCAACCATTTATTTGTGCATGCGCAGATATTTTGAACTACTTTGAAATTTAACTACATCTGTGATTGAACTTATTGTGAGAGTCATTTGGTTCACGAATAATAATAACATTTGTTATGTTGTTTGTTATTGTTTTTGTTAGGTGCCATCGAGTTGAGTATGACTCATCTCGACCCTATGAACGAAAGATCTGAACCCTGTTCTATGCTGTGTCATCCTCACACTTCCTGACACACAAGAGCCCATTGCAGTGGTTACTGTACCAATCCACCTGGTTGAAGGTCTTCCTCTCCTTCACCAACCCTCCACCCTTCCCAAAACCATGTCCTTGTCCAAGGAATAGCACCTCCAAGAAACATGTCTAAAGTATGTGAGGCAAAGCCTCATCATTCTTGTCTCCAAAGAGCACTCCAACTGCACCATATCTAAGATATATGTATTCATTCTCTTGATTGTTCATGGGCTGTTCAGTGCTCTTCTCCAACACCACAGCTGAAAGACATCAATTCTTTTTCTGTCATCCTTATTCATTGTCCAGGTCTCGGGTGCATAGCTGGTAATCAGAAAGACTATGGCCTGAATCAGATACACCTTAGCCCTCAAACTGACATCATTACTCCTCAATAATTTGGAAAGGTCCCTAACTACAGATTTCCCCAGTGTAATGCATCTTCTTATTTTTTGACTGCTCATACCAAGGGCGTTAATTGTGGATTCAATCAAAAGGAAACTGTTGACAGTTTCAATCTCCTATTCATCCGTGACAACACTGCCTATTGGTCCAGTGGTCAGAGTCTTTGTCTTCCTGATGTTGGTTATAATAAATCAACCAATGATCTGTTCATAAGCTTTCTCATTAGTTGCTTTAGTTTATTTTTTTTTCAGTTGTGGAAAGAACTGGTCAAATCATCGACAAGTTAGACATATTTTTTTCTGTGACATTAAGGCAGTGAAGGAGGAAATGAGATATCATTGGAGGATTTTCTGAGGAAGGGCATTTTGAAAATAGGTTAAGAGCTATCACTTCCTTCTCTTCAAGTTCCTTGGTTAGGAACAAAGCATCTGTAGCTTATAATCAGGCTGAGATGCACATGCCCTGCCGGCCCCACACATGATTGTCAATGGCACAAACACATTGGAAAATATTTCATCTAGGGGACTATTGTTATGGGCTTATCTTGTACACCCAGGCATGACATAGATTTGTGGTCCTTTGAACTTCTGCATCCTTTGTTCTTAGTCTGGGAGTTTCCTAATGCTCTTATCAGCGTGCACTATTTCCAGAGACAATAGAAATCTACTTGGCATTAGTATTTTATTTCATTATTCTACAGGGTTTTCAGGACTTGAAAATGCTTTAAAGATGAATACAAGCAGTTTCATTGTTTTAAGAAGAATCATTTCAAGGATTCCAACCTACCATTTAAATTCTATAAATTCTACAAATTACACTTCAGTGAGGATTTGCATATGAGAACTAATAACCACTTCAGTCTCACTCATTGTCATGAAGTCAGATCCAACTCATAGCTTAAGTACAAACAGACTTCAAAGGTTATAAATAGCATAGGAGATTGCCAGTCTTTCTCCCTTAGAGCTGCTGGTGAGTTTGAACTGCCAGAGAGGCACCACTTTCTGTCAGCTGAACAACTCCCTGCAGACTGCACCACCAGAGCTCTTCAGGTTATACAGCCATACTTACCAGTAAGGGATGAGATATGGAATCACCCCATGGCCACACACTGAAGCCACCGTGACAATGTGACCATGATTTCTTTTCATCATCGATGGAAGGAGGGCTTTTGTGATCTGGAGGTTAAATGCAGAAAGAAGAGGAACAACAACACAAGTATTAATTTTCTAAATCAGATAGTTTTATATTTGTGGAGGCATTTGAAACACATTTCAGTGTGAAATAAAAAAACATGCCAAAATTCTATGTTGACTGCTATGGACATACTGTAAATAAATCACATTAATGAACAAAACACATTTTATTGGTTTGATCTGGCATTGGTGCTGTTCATGGTAACCATGTGTCAATACCCCATTCTAATATCCCCTCTTATTCCTTTAGAAGGAATTAAATAGCTTCCTTTTGGATAGTTCATTGAAGCAATATTTAAAAAAAAAGAGTTCTCACAATTGGAAGCATTCCCTAAACGAATCTGGAATCATGGATTTTTAAAAAATTTTATTTTATTTTTTTAAGCTTCATAATTATAATTGAATGAGTTCAAATCCTGTGTGCCTACAGAAAGACAATTGATCTGGGAAAAGTAAGAGTTCTGCAATGATCTAGTATCATTTTTTGTTGTTGTTGTTGTTATGTGCCGTCGAGT